ATTTGAGGAGCTGAGCTTGCCAGATTTGGACACAGCTTAGACCAGTGTTTCTCAACCTCAGCGACTTTAAGATGTGTGGACTTCAACTCCCAGAATTCCCCAACCAGCCATCTCTTGGTGATTTTGGGGTCACCCTGGGAGAATGGTTCAGTATCTTCTCATAGATGTGATGGGATGTATAGCAATTTGGGTGGGGTTCCCGTCCACCTCGTTTAGCCACTGTGCCGAGTGCATCTAACACCATATCCAGCTTCTTCCAACAATCATTTGGATGACCTGGAAGGGAACAGCTGTCTCCTGCTGTTGCCCACCATCAACGGCATGGTATACTGCCCCTGAATGTGGAGGGTCCGTATAGCCACCACATGAGACCAGGTAGTTCACGTCTGTCTTCCAGACAAGTCTTCAGTACCACCAGATTGCAAGATTGATGTCAGCCCTTCTAAATAGTCCAGATAAGAAGCAAAGCAATGAATTTTAGCTCTATCATTATTGTAAGGTTACATTAACAGAACAAGTCTGAAAATATTTCTCCCCTCCTTTCCTTTTACTCTCTGGAAATCCAGGGAGGGTCCCTTCTGAAACGCTTCCCACACCCCTTTTCCTTCTGTGGGCTGAGATACCTTTTACACACCGGTTGTCCAGTCTGCAGCTCTTCCTCCTGTCTCCCAAGGTCATTCCCACATACCATCACAGTAACCATTATGCCACTTTTGCTTTAAAAAAGGCATGCTGGCTGGGGAATTCTGAGAGTTTAAGTTTGCACATCTTAAAAGTCGCTGAGGTTGAGAAATGGTGCGTTAAAAATTTGTTGATATGATGGACTGAAATGGAGGAAGGGGGGTGAAAACGGTGCGGAGAAAGCTGGCGCATCCCTAAACATTCCAGAAGATAGTGAATAGCTGTGCCTGGGAACTAGTGGTCAGTCTGAGAAGATTTCTGTAAACAACATTCCAGAAGATAGTGAATAGCTGTGCCTGGGAACTAGTGGTCAGTCTGAGAAGATTTCTGTAAACAGACGCTGGCTAATAAACCTTGCTGATTGAACCTGAATGGTCTCCAGGAGTTCTTTGGGCTAGGCCTGACATCAATCTTCTCAGACTCATATTTACCTTCAAGTAGAAGGAGTAACATCATGGCTACAGATCTACAGGGAGCTAATCTGACCCCGCAAATGTTGGCGGCCGCTCTACTACAACATCAGCAGCAAGTGGATGCACAGATTAATAACCTGCAGACAGCAATGGGACA